GATGGGTGATTGGGGGTCGAAGCATCCAGCCCTGCGCCTAACACCCCTAGCGCTGCCCCTGGATCGCGACGCCTCCATGCGCAAGACCTTCCTCGTGCTGTGATCAGAGATTGATGATCGACGCCCTCGCTGCAACGCCGATGCTGCAGGAATCTGGCGTTCCATCGCCGTGCCGTGGAGAAGGCCGTCCGAGGGCGCCCATCGCGGGTCTGATCATCAGACTTCGGCCGCCCCGAAGTCTGCGGACGCGATTGCTGTCCCGCGGTGTATTCGCCCGTCCGCCGAGAGGAGAAGGAGTGGGAGGGAAAGGGGCCATGTCCTTACCTTCGTGTTCTGACCCTGTTCTCCTCAACTCCATGGGTCCATGTCTTCCTTCTTTCATGTCTCCGAGTATGCTGCCAGCAATGCGGCTCCATCGCGACGGGCGTGTCGGCATACTTCTCGGCTCGTATCAAAGCACGTCGCCCTCTCCGATGGGCCAATGAAGCCGTCTCCAGAAGTGGAGTGCGAGGACGCCGACGAGGAAGAGAAGCAGGAGGGGAACAAGACGAGGAGAACGGAGAGGACGGTGACGACGGACGACGACGAGGACGACGACCAGGAGGAGGACGGCATCGACGGAGGTGACGACGACGCGGACGACGAAGCGGACTACGACGGCGACGACGGCGACGACAAGTCGGGACTGCAAAAAAACCAAGGATTGCAAAAAAACCCTTCGTTCGGGTTTTTTTGAAGGATTGCAAAAAAAACCCTTCGTCGGGTTTTTTTGAAGGATTGCCCAAAAACAGGTTTTTTTTTGCAATCCTTCGTTCGGTTTTTTTTGCAATCCTTCGGTTTTTTTGCAATCCTTCGGGGGCCGGCGGAGCGTTCCGGAGCGCTCTCAGAGCGTTCCGGAACGCTCTGGAGCGGCCGCGGCGCCCAATACATCCTCCAAACCCGCCGATTCTCAGAGATTTCGAGCTATCCCGATCCGATTTTGTCCCGATCTTCGCGTCGTTTTACCAAGTCGGGACGGGGGCCGGCGATTGCAAAAACACCCTGGATTGCAAAAAAACCCTGGATTGCAAAAACAAACCCTCGGGTTTTTTTTTGCAATCCTTCGTTCAAGGGTTTTTTTTTGCAATCCTTCGGTTTTTTTGCAATCCTTTGCAATCCTTCGTTCAAGGAAGGGCCGGCGGAGCGCGGTGCCGCCACGGCGCCGGCACCGGCGGCGCCGGACCTGCCCGCGCCGCGGCCGTGCGCGGGGCGGCGGCGGAAGGGGCGGCCGGGCGCCGACCGGCCTGTCACAGCTCACGGCTCCACAGGGCAGTTTTTAATGCATAGGATTTCCAAACATGTAGGAGTTTTTGATCTATGATTAGTCTTGGAAAAAATATATGGGATTGATAAGTACATGATCTATGATTAGTCTGTGATTAGTCTAGGATTACTTTATGATTAGTCTATGATGAGTAGTATCTTGGGAAAATATTAATTTTAGTCTATGATTAGTCTAGGACTAATACATAAGATGTTCAAAACATAGGAGTTTTTGATCTATGATTAGTTTTTGGAAAAAAATATATGCATGAACTCATCGTTGTTTTTGATGCTAAATCCCTGCCTTTATTAACACGTGATCCGCACGCGGAGCATGTATTAAAACCGGCTCTGTACCTCCTCCACCTCGCCCCCCTGGGGAGCCCACAGAGGACGTGCGCGCCCAACCACGTACACGAGCACGGCCTCCCCCAATCCGCGAGGCCAGCCTCGCGATACGAACGCCGGCACACAGGCGCACTCTCGGAACCGACGGGGCTGCATGTACGCGTGCGTCCTCCGTTCGCTCCGGATCCGCTCTCTCTCCCTCCACCTCCTCTCCCCAGCAGTCCGTTCCTCCTTTGTGCCAAAACAGCGTGCGCGCCGACGCGCGCATGCACGCCCACCGCCACAGCAGCGCGATCACCCACTGTCCGACTGAGAACACCAGGCGACGCCCGAGCCCGACCCAGCTCCGGCCCGCGCAAGAATTGAGTAGACCGCCGGGGGCGCGAAACTCAGCTCGCCATCGCTCAGACGTCCATTCCATGTGTTTTTGTTCGGCTCCGTGCGTGGTTTTCTCGCCAAATGATCAAGGATGCTCCTCGATGGTCCTCGCCGAAGGAAAAATGCACACGTCCGAGCGATGCCAAGTCAGCGGCCCAGGCAGTGCGGGCGGTCTGCGGCTGCTGCGCTCTCGCGTGCTGCAGGGCGAGGCGGAGCCTGGCGCCCCGGTGCTGCGCCTGGTCGCGGGCGAACCCGCTCGGGCACGTCCTCGACCCCGCCGCAGAGACGCCGAAAGGCGTGGCGCCTCCAGGAGGAGGAGGAGGAGGAGGAGGAGGAGGAGGAGGAGGAGGAGGAGGAGGAGGAGGAGGAGGAGGATGGTGGGATGGGGAGGAGAGAGGTAGGAGAGGGAAGGAGGGGGAGAGGAGGAGGAGGAGGAGGAGGAGGAGGAGGAGGAGGAGGAGGAGGAGGGGGCGGAGGGAGGAGGGGCAGCGAGTTCTTGACGACCCCGCCGCAGAGACGCCGAAAGGCGTGGCGCCTCCAGCTGCAAAATGGGCTCTCCGCAGCGCTGGCCCGCGCGCGGGCCGCGGCGCATGCGATTCGCGCACAAGAGGAGGAGGAGGAGGAGGAGGAGGAGGAGGAGGAGGAGGAGGAGGAGGAGGAGGAGGAGGAGGAGGAGGAGGAGGAGGAGGAGGAGGAAGAGAGAAGGGAGGAGGAGGGATTGCGGTGAGAGAAGGGTGAGGAGGAGGAGGAGGAGGGCCCCCGGCGGCACGAGATCCTACCGAGGAGCTCGCGCACCATGCTGCAGCAGTCGGCGCAGCCGAGGCGCTGCCGAGACCCCCCCGACGTGGCCTGCTGTCAGCCAGCGGAGCGCGGCCGCGCGGCCACCCGTAGGGAGCGAGCCCCGCTGGTCCACGCAAGACCAACCAACTCTCTTTGGCCCCTGATTCGAGCAGGGACCGACCGTCCCGGCATTCCTATAGCCCTACCACGACATGTTCTTAGAACCCAATCATGCTCTACGAACAGGAACAATGTTCTTAGAACCTGAAGCACATTTGATAAAACAAGACACTCCCAACCAGAGATGTTCCAAGAACATTTCGTGGGAACCACACAGGGTTCGTAGAACATTGTTTAGTAGGACTATAGGCACGCCAGGACGCTTCGCCACTGCTCGATTGATGCGAGGTCGTCGGGCGGGGGCCCCGTCGGGGGAGGGCGCCCGCTCTCACCGCTGGCCCGGTGCTGGACTGCCGCAGGGGCAACAGCAGCCGGCCTGCCCGGCAGGCGGCCG